ACGAGGGTATTGATTTGGCTGGGCAACGCCGATTAGAACGGCATAAGTCAATATGATCTCTCCACCACCACCCCACTGGTAATTACTCAATTGGTCAACCTGTACAATCCGAAATGATAATATGGTGGCATGGGTGAAGTACGGTCACTGTAGCCCCCGTACCCAGGGTGTACGGGAAAGTGGGGAATAGGACGGGTGAGGACGTGCGCTCAACCTCCATCGGCGGCCAACTACCAATCAGGCCCCAGTGAAAATGTGCAGGGATCGTGGGTTGATGTGGTTGATGCTAAATATGACGGGTGAGCTTGGGTGGGCTGGCATATAGCCAAGTCGTGCGTGAGAGCAGGGGGGGCCGAGAGTTCCGCTATTATCTAGAGCTCAGTATCTTGGTAGCAGTGGGAGGGGGGTTTACATTTTGGTCACTTAATCGGGATGGCCATGGGTTCAATGGGCCGGCTATATTCGGGTGGATGGTTCTGGAGGGAGCTCAGGGTGAGTTTGGTGTGTGCTAGGGTCTAGTAGGTCGGGGTTGGTAGAGCCCACGAGTTGAGTGGGCGGGGAGATAGGATAATCCTGAGCCCTCTCATGATGTTTGGTGGGTAGCGGACTGAGGTTTTGCTGGTTGGGTGTTGGGGGGCAGAATTGGAGCGAGTTGTAATTCGGGGGGGCGGGGGGCGGCTGGGGGAATGTGATTGCGGCGTATGTAGCGGTCGGCATTTGGTAACAGTCGGATTGTGTAAGGCGGGGGTGCGTTTGACCAGGGTTGTGCTCAACGTGGGCTAGGTGAGACCTAGATATTTGATCTTCGTGTGGGTGGTAGCGTTCGGCCGACCCCCCCCCCCGCCTGACTACGCTATGATGAAACCCCACAAATCTGTGTTCGATGTTGGAGTCAAGGCGGCGGCCCAGCACCACTTGCATAGCTAATACTGACGTGTGGCGTTGTGCTATCCTACCACATGTTAATCGATTGGCAAGGACCCTTACACTCAGAAACACCTGAGGAGACGATTGAGGAAATCATCTCATGTATTCACTCTCACTGGGTGGACCCAGTTGTTAGAAAGCCAAACCAGAAGTGACACACTACCTTTACGACGTTTGTATGCACGATGGGAAGCGCTGTCGCTTAGGACGGGCATTGGTATAGCCTCGTCAAGGGCGGGCGTAGCTCAACTCTTGTGGAGTGCTGGGTTGTTGGTCGTGATGTGGATTCTAGATTATATAGGATCCTAGGGGATTTAGGACGTGGGTTTATCGCTGTCGTTCGCACTGAAAGGGGGTATGGTTAGCATCGGTTACGTTTTAAGGTGCAATGTCCTGGTGGTCAGGGGTTGTCGGACAGGCCTTACGCACAACACCGGTCGGGGGCGACAAGGTGGGGTTGAAGGTACTTGAGGGCCAGCCTCGGTGGGGTATCTACTGTCCGCCTTATAGTTAGGGGGAGGATTATTACCAAAGTGAACTGTTGGGTGCCGGTGATCTCTAGTGCTGAACATATATGCCAAAATCATATAAACGTTAATAGATACTAGTCTTTTCGCTCTTGTCGTCAAAGAAGAAAACAATGGCGCAAACTTCTGCGCTGCTTACAATTACACGAGAGACTTGTACTGCATTTACAACGGGGTCTAACCCAAACGCACCAAAATCAATGCAAAAAAGAATTCTGGGCACGGGGGGCGGGGACCTCAGGTTAATCAGGTGTTTGTTTGTTGTGTGTTATGGTATGTAAAGGCGTGGATAGCCGTAGACATTTACTAATGTAGGTTCCAGTTTCAAGGGCTAGGTATATAGTTTCGGGGGGACTATAGACGGGGGGGGCAGGTTCGAGGGTCTGCGACGGGTTGTATGGAATGCAATGTGGCCTGGATCAGCCGTAGGTTGGCCGCCGCAGGGCGGGCAAGCTTTCTAGCTGGCATCGGCAGGACGCATCGGCTGTATATGATCGAACGTTTTCGAGGCGGGGGATAGTGCGCTGGGAAGGGAATGCGATTGGGGGTGGGAAGTGGTGGGCTGGGCATGCGCTGCTGTTATTCATGCTAACCGCGGCCTTGGGGGCGTTGAGGATTTCGCCCCTTCGGGCGGTAGGATATAGGCGGTGGGATTTTATTAACATGCGCGCGGGTGGTGCTTTATGCGTCTCACGGGCTGCATCGTCGGTCGTCAAGGGCCGGGCTTTCGCTAGGGTTGCTATCCTGGTGATTATGCCATATAGGGATAGGGTGGGTGGCGACGTGATGGGAGATGAAGATGTTAGAAAGTAGAGTAGGGGAATGCTTTACGTGTCTAGCAGGACCCGCCCAAGTTATGAATCTACGCGGCGGCGCCTATCCAACCGACATTGAGTGAGCGTTTGTAGGCTTGTTTGTTATGGGGGGATGTGCTGTATAGGTAGGGAGCGGTGGATTCAACCGAAACTGCTGGGTCAGCGGACCAGCGCCATAAACGCTCCTGCGTTTACATGCCAGCGTACATATTTCTCAATCAAGGCCACAACTTTGTTTGTCTTTTAGAGGGTATGGAATATGTTTATGAATGTGATCGATGTGGGACATGCAAAAGGCGCGTGTCCCGACAACCCCAAGACCCGCCCGTTACGCATAGTAATAGCCACAGGTCTGGAAGGAACGCTCTCGTGGGTCATATGGAATTGAGTGATTAAAGAGATCCTGCTTCGTTTGTGGGGCCGGTATCGCTAGGAACGTAACGGTGGCGCAGATCGACTGGGGGGGATTTGCGGGGGCACCAGCAACATGGCTTCCACTGCAGGTTCTATTGTTTCCAGCGGCGGGCGGCTCTGGGAATGTCACCTTAGAGGTGGCCCCACCGTCCTCGTTAGGGGGGGTTGAATTCAGGCTTTATAAGTGTGGGGTACACTTAGCTATTATGGGTTCTACACAATGCGGACAGGCGGAAGGACCTTCGTCACTGAGTGGGGAGGTTGTTTAACTGACGCGGGGATGTAAGTATGCAGATAGTAGTTTGTGTGCGTACGGGGTGACGGGGTGGTTGGTGGGATAGCACGAACTGGTTAAATGCAAATTGGTACGGGGGTATGAATGGCCAGCTGGCCCTGTTTACGGAGAACATGCAAGTCGGCGGGGTATGCGTCCACACCAAGTGCATATGCGGTGGATCGGGAGCGGTAAGGATAATGCTTGGTTCGGGCTAGAGCAGGTAGAATTTAGAGCGGTCTTGGGAGGACGTTCTGGGTCGGGTTTCTTTGGCAGGCAGAGTCTCTTGCATTCCAGGATTGGGTGACGGACGGTCTTGCGCATCAAGTATTCCGGGCGCCAGTCCCGGTTGCTTTACGTCCTTCCTCACATGCCGGAGTTGATGGCATTGATCCTTGCAGAACTCAGGTACCAAAAAAGGTCGTGGGTATTCGATGCCGGTTAGTGATGCGGCTATTCCTACTGGTGTAAATTAATAAATAATGTCACTTTTACGTCCCGCGGGAAGTTATTTGGTCCTTAGCTTCATATGTACACATAAGGCTGATCATTGGGCGGCGCGGGCGCTAGCATAACGGTGTGTTTTGCTATGTCGCGCTGGTCGGTCAAAATAACTCCATTGTGATGACGCTTATTTTTAAAAAGAAACAACCTCGTTTTCTTCTACAAAATACGAAGTTACTCTGATGCTTGCTTCCGCGCATTCGAAAGTCGGAAAACTGACCAGGAAGGAGTAAAATCATGCCGGAGGGGTCACGACGACTGTACGCGCGATGTTAGCTATATTTCTCTCAGCGGGATTGTTCTAGAGCCACGGCCCGCTGCCGGCCGTGGCGGAGAGGAATCGTGCCCGCAGCCCCCCACCCCGCCAAACCAGTCCCCCGGCCGTCCTCACACCCCAGCCGTCACTGCAGGCGGGTCACTATTTACTAGTTACATGTATGTTTGTCGCAGGGTATAACATGCCTTGTGTAGGTCATCCGAAATTTGCCCGTCCAGTCAGCTTCCGATCGATACCTTAAAGCAGCGGTCTGTAGATACTTACGCACCCAGCTAACTCAGTGTGCGACAGGGGTCCATGTTTCGTCGAAGGCGTCAGTTTTTAATCGTCTCTGGTGATGTTGTGGAAGCGAAGTATTTTAGTGTAGGTACATCTCGTCTGGGATAGGTCATGACACTTCGTAATTTGACGGATAGGCCAGTCGGGATGAACCGAACGGGTGGGGTGGCAAGAACGGGCTGGTGAGGCTCGTAGGGTGGAGTCGTAATTTACTGACAAGATTTGGGGTACTGGTGGTGGTGGCTAGGCGAGGGAGAAGTAATATCGGGGAAGATTGGTTACTACTTGGGGATATTTATGGTTATTTTTGACAGGTGAAGGTTTATGGAGACATGGTGCTAGTGTGGGGATTGGAGTAGTGGCTAACGTTTCGGGCAATGGCGTAGTGTATATACTGGTGGAGACGCAATAGAGTGGGAGTCGACGGGTGCGGGGAAAGGCGCGGAGAATGGGGTGTGTGGGCGTTTCGTGTGTACATATGGGTCGGGTGGGGCTCGGGTCGACACATCGGGACCACAGACACGGGCCGTGGCCTGGATACGGCGCTTAAAACCATTGTGGGGTATTATGTCAGGCGTGGCGGACTTTAGGGCGTCCGGCCCGGGCATCATGACTATAATTACTTTTTATGCCACCGCACATGCCTGCATCGATTGCGAGAAATGAAATACTATAGGAACATACTGGCACCCAGTACCGGCGGGGGTATTGCTGGGAATACCTGAACAGAGCTACTGTGTTTACAAAAAACGCTAGGGAAGATCTGGCGCAGGACCTCCCTCGTCAAGATGTCGACGTAGTGCTAGGGTCGAGTCCTCTGCCGTCTTAAATTCGAATGCATTAACTAGATAGGATTAGTTGTTGAGGCGAGCAGACGCGCCGGCAGGGGTGGGTGGGCACGCCACGGGGAGGTGGCATGAGCCAGTGCAGCGAAGTCCTAGGAAGATATCGCGACAGGAGGGTTCGAAGCCTCCATTCGGGTGACGACACTGGGAGCCTAATGGACTCTCGGCTGCATGCGTGCGGGGGGCACCATGGTTTAGGAATAAGTATTGATTGCGGGGCGTAGGGGAAGGAAACCGGGGATTATCTGGGACGAGGTGGTTTAGCTGGGATGGGGAGACATTTATGTGGATTCACGGCTGTCGCACTTTCGGTGGGACGGTGTCAGGACGTACGATAATTGAGGGGTACACAGGGGGGGGGGACCGTGTAATAGGCGGGCCAAGGACTTAGAAGCAGTGAAGACACCGGGCCGGATTATGATTTGGTTGAGCGCTGGGGGATGGATTGCTGGTCGGGCAGTCGTCTTGTTGGGGGCCGCCGGCCCCCAAGACAACCGATCGCGGGCGAAATGACTCGGCGGGGAATCGGGGGGGGCCCCGGGCGCGTGGGGGGAGTCGGAGCTGAAAGGAGCTGCTGAAACCTGGGGGTCAGATGTAGACTCGATGTCATTGGGAGTGTTGCATGGAGCAAACGGTCATGGGTCACGGGACGCCTTGTTCTGCCCCCTGACGCTCTCGGAACTATAATTAATTGAGTGTTAGACTCATGTGAAATGCCCCCTCAGATTATTTCTGTTGCCCAAGAGGGACACATCTTGACCGGGGACGGAATAGGAAAGAAATGGGGGGGGGTGGGGTGGGGGGGGGTTGCGGTTGGCCGGTCTGTATTGACGTTCGGGGGGTCGGGTGAAAGTGCCCTGTTGGCCGCTGGGGGTAAGGAGACACACCAGCGGCAGCGGAAGACATGGGCCAGTGGACTCCCAGTGGCAAGGTACAGTGGTTACGGAGCTCATGCATAATTCGACGGGCACTAGGGACAGGGCACGATAAAAAAAGAAAAAAAAAAAAAAAAAAGGAAAAAAAAAACAAAATAAAAATAAAAAAAAAAAAAAAAAAAAAGGGAGAGGAATGAGGTGGGGAGGAGGCCGATGTCATATCAAAATGAACGGGTGGATCAACCGTGCGAGCCAGATAGCCAATGGATGGCGAGCATAGTGGATTCGATACCCCCGCTCGCCCCCCCCCCCGCCCCCCCACCCCACCATCCCCACTTCCCTTCCCCCATACCCACCACCCCTGTAATCCCTTAACCCCCCCCCCCCCCCCCCCCCCCCCCTCCCCAAACCCCCTTCCACCCCCACCCCCCCCCCCCCCCCCCCCCCCCCACCACCCCCCCCCACAAAAAAAAAAAAAAAAAAAAAAAAAAATTGTTCGTTTAACCAAGTTAAAGGCGGAACCTCCTCAGCTTAGAAGCGTCGTTAGTTACGGACGTAAACGTGCAACTTATACCGAGGAGTTCTGCTTGTTATACATGCTGTAATTCTCCCTGAATTGACTTTGCCAAACAAACACTTGTCTCTGAAGGACTGAGTTCTGCATCACGCTAACAGTCTTCGAAATGCCGTTTGGATTCATGGCTACTGGCAAGGGAACTCTTGACACCTGACGGTCAACCACTATTCCCTGTACGGGCAGTAACCTGCTTGGTAGTGTAGGATGGGTTGTGCTATATCCCAGTGTGATTCCAATCTATAATGCTCGGCTAACGTCCCCCATGGCTCAGTGATCATGTGTCCGACCTCTTGAAGGGGACCGAGGAAAAGCGCATCACTGATCAACCCCAATTGGGCGAAACAATTAGCTGGTTCTCTTCCGGATTGTTATCTGTCCTTTGTGGCTGCTAATCTAATTGCGGTGAACCAAATAATTTCCGCACATGCCCTGAGAAGCACTAGACGGTCGTGTCGACTTGCTGGGTCTCATCAATAACTCGCGTTCATCAAGATCCGAATCCGCAGCCACTAGCGGCTCGCACCGCCGGTCGGCAACTCTTATCACTGAGCAATGGTGGACAGCGGTGGAATGCCGTCGTTTACAAGCCAACTGCGATAGCGCGTTTCCTCTGCTGCCATGCAAGTTACGCACGTTGCAGAAGACAGGGTTAGCACCGAGAGACACAAATTCAACTAACGGTAGATGTGTTCTACCTAGCAGTTGGAATCTGCTGGAGTGGTTCTTTTCATATATTCATGAATTGGGTTTCCAATGATAATGCTAGTTTACTTCCAC